GTGTAGACCTTCTTCACAAAACTGCGGGCTTTTTGGGAGGATTCGACCGCCCCCTACACCCAGCTGCACGTGCGGCCTGTGCACGTGTGATCTTTCTCGTCGGATCCGCGAATAGCAGGATAATTCGCGTTTGTTCGATTTACTTATGGGCCTTGACGATGTGTTCTCGACCGTTCGATTGCAGTTTTTGGCAATAAAGCCCACTCAAAGTCTCTCGGAGGTCTTCAACATTGCTCTTAACGAAGTACAACAGTGCCTCATCTCCCAAAATCGAAAGCACGTGAGTGAGGGCGCTCGGTCGTGGCTCGCGGAGACAGTGATCGCAACTCTCGTGGTGCTGGTTACAAATAGCGGCCCAAATGCACCCACTGTCAGAAAATCGGCCACTTACGCGAGACATGTTGGGAGATCAACAACTACCCTCCTCGTGACCGATCTGAATCTCGCGAGCGACCTGATTCTCGCGGAGATCGCGATGCTCCACCACGACGTCGCACGCGGACTGGCGGTGAAGGTGCTTCTCGCGATGGGGTTGCTCGAGCTGCTCAAGTCGAGCAGGATAAAGGGAAAATCCTTATTGATGGCTTCACTATAGAACAGCTAGAGCAATTAAAATTATTTTTCGGCCAGCAGGCCAAGGGTGCTGATGATCCAACTGCGATTTCGGCAGGTATGCTCCCTTTTGATACTAAATGGCTCCTTGACTCAGGTTGCAATGAACATATCACCATGAATGCTGATTTATTATCTGATAAAGTTATGGTCAAGCACGGCGAACCTGTTAAAATTCGGAATGGGGCGAGTATCCTTGTTCGTCACATGGGTCGTGTGAATTTCACGGCAGGCGTTTCTCTTACGCGGGTTTTGCATGTCCCAGAATTTCGGTGCAATCTGATATTTGTCAGTCATTTTACTAAAGAGAATCATGTCGCACTAATATTTCTTGATGGTTTCTGCGTTATTCAGGACTTAGTCTCCAAGAAATTGATTGGGAAAGGTGAATTGCGAGATGGGCTCTATTATCTACGTCTGTTTGGGAGTGGACATGTGAAGGCTTGCCAAGTCAACGGTGGGTGCCGGATTTTAGAGGACGTCTGGCACACCAAGCTCGGCCATCCCTCTCCTACCAAGCTCGAGCAGCTTAGTTCATTTTTGCAAGTTTCTGTTGGTTCTAATAAAGATTTATGTCATTCCTGTTCTCGTGCTAAACAAAGTCGAACTTCGTTTCCTACTCGCAGTCTGCCATCTAAAGCTTGTTTTGAATTGCTCCATGTTGACGTTTGGGGAGGCTACAATGTTGCATCTTTAAGTGGTGCTCAGTACTTCTTACTATAGTGGACGATTTCAGTCAAGGAACATGGGTCTATTTGATGATGTTCATTCGGCAGGTTCGCACACAGTTTCGTGCACAGGTTTGCCGCATTAAAGCAGACAATGGGCCCGAATTCAATATCTGGTCCATCAGGAGTTCTATGCCACTGAAGGGATTGTACTTCAGACGTCTTACACAGACACGCCTCAGCAAAATGGCGTCGTCGAGCGCAAGCATCGTCACTTGCTCGAAACGGCGCGTGCTCTTAGGTTCCAGGCGGGTCTTCCTCTTCATTTTTGGGGAGAGTGCGTCCTCACCGCAGCTTACCTCCTTAACCGCCTACCCACGGTGGCCACTGGCCGCACGCCGTTTGAGGTTGTTTTCAATCAGTCGGCTCCTTACACGCACCTACGAGTTTTCGGCTGCTTGGTCTATGCAAAATATACTCATACTCACCTCGGCAAGTTCGGTGAGCAGGGTCGAGCCTTTGTTCTCCTTGGCTATGCTTCCAGCCAGAAAGGTTATCGCGTATATGATCTCACCTCTCACAAAGTTTTTATGTCGCAGGACGTTGCCTTTCACAAAGACGTTTTCCTTTTCAGCTGCCTCATTGTGGCGACTTCCACTGGCTACCGCGGCCCTTGCCTGACCCGGTTACTCTTGATGATGATATTCATGATGATCTACATACTGATTTCAGCTCTGCTCCTCCTGCCTAGGTGCCCATGAGCTCTCCCGAGACTTCTCGACTCTCAGCCTCACAGGAGCACTCCTCGCTTGATGAGGATTTGACCACGTCGCCCGCTCCAGCTGAGACTGCCGCCTCACTTGGCGAAGCTCCCATTTCCTCCACGGCACCTTCTTCGACTGATGCCCCGGTCTCCCTCTTTCTGCTTGTGAGTCCACTTCGTCGCCGCAGCCTCCTCCCCTGCGACGTGGTGATCGCGTCCGCACTCGTCCACGACACCTGGACATCTATGATACTCCATCATTGCCAGGCCAGCTTCATGCCTCTACAGCTAAGTACCCCTTGTCCGATTTTATATCCTACGAGGGAGTTTCCTCCACTTATCAAGCTTTCTTAGCTGTTGTGACTTCGCAAGATACACCACGTACATTCTTGCAGGCTATGCAGGATCCCAGGTGGCATGATGCCATGATCAAGGAAATTTGTACTTTGGAACTCAAGGGTACGTGGAAAATAGTTGATTTGCCTCCGGGAAAGCGAGCTATTTACCCAAAATGGGTATATAAGATCAAGTTCCTTGCTCATGGCTCCATCGAGCGGTTTAAAGCTCGCCTGGTTGCCAAAGGTTTCTCTCAAATCGAAGGGATCGACTTTCATGACACTTTTGCCCCGGTGGCAAAGCTTGTCACTGTCCGGTGCCTCCTCGTCAAGGGGATCCTTTGTCTCCTCTTCTCTTTGCCATATATACGGAGGCCTTTGCGGCTATGATTAGCCAAGCTGTTGCTGTCTCTACGCTTCATGATTTAAAAGTGCACAGGTCTGCTCCTCCCCTTTCTCATCTTTTTTATGCGGATGACTCCTATCTGTTCCTACGTGCTTCTGTCCCTGAATGTGCTAACCTTCTTCATCTTTTAGCGGAATATGAAAGGTATAGTGGTCAGCGGGTTAATCTTCATAAATCTGCTATGTGTGGGAGTGCGAATGTTTCAGAACAGGAGTTACTTTCACTCAGTTCGTTCCTAGGAGTTGCGACTATGTCTCCTGATGACAAGTACTTGGGCCTCCCGTCCCAACTCCGTCGGTCTAAATCATTGACCTTTCAATTTATTGAAGAGGATCTGGCTGCACGGATCCGGAGTTGGAAGACCAAGGCGTTGTCTCTAGCGGCAAAGGAAGTGGTTATCAAGTCGATTGGGGCTGCGCGGCCTATCTATGCTATGTCGGCTTTCAGACTTCCCCAAGAAACATGTCGACGTTGTAACAGTCTTCTATCGAAGTTTTGGTGGGCAAACGAGGATAAGGAGAATGGCATCCATTGGATCTCTTGGTCTGCGATCTGTCAGAGTAAGTGTGTAGGAGGGTTCGGTTTTCGAGATTTTAATCTTTTTAATGTTGCTTTGTTAGCTAAGCAGGCTTGGCGCATTCTTGGCAACCCCACTAGCACTCTTGCCCGGATTTATCAAGCTAGGTATCATCCTCACCGGAGCTTCTTGGAGGCGACAGCAGGCTCCCGTCCTTCGTGGGCGTGGCAAGGCATCCTGACAGGAAGAGATCTTCTACTTCGGGGTTTAAGGTGGCAAGTGGGAAGCGGGAATCGGATTCATACTTTAACGGATAATTGGCTTCCCTCTTCTCCTCCTTCACCTCCTGTGTTAAAGCCAGGTTTGAGTGTTTGTCCTCCTTTAGTCTCAGATCTCATTTGCCCTACTTCTCAGTCGTGGAAGAAGGATCTCTTACTTTCTCTGTTCACTCTAGAGAGTGTTGATCTCATTTTGTCTATTCCTCTCCCTACTTCGGTGTCGACTGATCGTTTGATATGGCATTATTCTTCCTCTGGTGTTTACACTGTTAAGACATGATATCATCTTTTGGCATCTGAGTACGATCTTCATCATCCTCCCGCGGTCCTCCCGTTTGACTCTCGTTTTTGGAAATTTCTTTGGAGTATTCCTGTTCCTCCAAAGCTAAAGTTCTTTTTTTGGCGTGCTGTCCGTGGCTTCTTGCCTCTGCAGATAGTTTTGTTTACTAAAACTCTTGTGTCTGACACGATTTGTCCTATATGTTCTGGGGAACCAGAATCCTTTTCCCATTTTTTCTTCTCTTGCAGGGTCGCTCAGGGACTGTGGAGGCTGGCGGACCTTGAAGGTGTACGCATTACTCTTGGAGGAATGAGTCCTGATGAGGCCTGGTGTCATCTTTTCTTTTCAATGAACCTTTCGAAAATTGAGATAGCTAATATTGTTTTCATTCTTTGGCGGCTTTGGAAGGGGAGGTGTTGGTCAGTCCACGAAGGCATCCAATATCTCCCTTCAACTCTGTTTCGGCAGTTTCAATGACAGGTGGATGAGTGGAGGACGTTAGGGACCAATTCCTTGATTCAGCCTTTCGGTGGCACTGTTTTTGCAGCTCCAGGCCCTTCTCGCACTCCCAGTATCGCACCTACGACTCCAGGTTCCCCAACTTTTATCAATGTCTGGTTTGATGGTGCTTCCAAGAGTGGGCATGGAGGCAGTATTGGCTTTGTCGGCTATCATACGACAGGTAATGTTCTGTTTGCTTTTGGGAAATTTTATGATGGTATTCAGGACCCTTTTCTCATGGAATGTTTAGCCCTACGGGATGCTGTACAATGGTGTTTAACTCATTCCTTTCTTTCTGTTTGTTTTCATGGGGATTCTCAACTCTTGATCCGCCGGATGATTGGAGGTGATATGCATCATGTTCGGGGTGGCGCTATTTTGGAAGACGTTAGGAGCTTGGCATCTTCCTTCCTCGGTGTTTCTTTCTGTTTTGTTTCTCGTCAACTTAATAGGGCTGCCCATCATGTGGCACAAAAGGCCCTCTCATCGGTAGTTCGACTATTGGTCGACTCCCGCGCTTTACTTTCTTCTGGTTTGTGACTTTGGATTTATGCTCTGACTTTGCCAAAAAAAAAAGTGAAAATCACATTCCCGAAAGAAAGACATCCGGTTACAATCTTCAATATTCAAGTCGTCATACATCCAAATATAAAATTTACTTGATCTCTAGTCCTTCGTTTTCTCAGCAGACGTTGAGTTATCTCGTCCATACGATTCCTCCTTCGCTGTAACACGTACATATATCACATTCAATATTTATAAGAAAACAAATATACCAAACTATATATAGAAGGAAAACAATTGTGTAGCAAGAGTATATACCATGTAGTGAACTGCTGGTGGTTCCATTAATCAGTGAGGAGCTGCTCCCATTACTTGAAAAAGGACAAACCTGTGCAGTTCAGTAATAGAATGTGACCCCAAAAAAAGATTCCTTAGAAAGAGGAGAGAAAGAGAGGAAACTTGCCCCAATCACAAATTCAAGTAGCTTTCTCGTGGTGGTGGTGATGTCGCTAATCCGTTCATTATTCTCATGGAAAGCTACATTCAAATGGAATGAACTAGTTCTAAATTAACATGCTGTATACACATACACTATAAGTGGACAACACCAGCTTATTCTAAATCAACATTATAACTAGAGCTGACGTACGTGAGTACTACAAGAACGAATCGTTTTATCATTCCTTGACGTGCAACCCACTTGCAATGATCAAAACAACCTAGTACGCTTCCAGTTGCATCGTTCAATTGTAAAGTTTCTTTCTTCAAGCAAATTCATAGTATTGGTGTTATATATCATGATTGAAAACCATAAGCATTAAAAAATTTGATACCGACAAATCACCGTAAATCTCATTTCATCTCTATGACTCAAGTAGAGAAAGAGAGAAAGTATATGGCAGTACTTGAAAAGAACTTACCTGTAGAATTATAAGACAACAGCTTCCTGTTGATAATGGTGACCATCTGTGGATTGTTGTCGTCCTCTTCGTGTAAAACTGCATCCAAATACTTGAGGGATGCAAAAGTGCAAAAAGAGCTAATTAATAGCGATGCTGAAATTCAAAGGGGATCGGAGACGGCCTGTTTATGGGCGATCCTGATGACATGGCGGCATGGCTGGAACTGGAACTACATTTTGTGTGAGCTCGATCGGGTATGCATACTACGTAAAACTGCTGAATGTATGGGAAAAGGTAGGCGAAGAAGCCACAAAGGAAATCAAGGAGATTCTATTATCTGCATAATATTCTTGAAGGAAGATTATATTGTATAGTTTCTCAGTTTATGTTATGTGTAGTGAAGAAGATTTTATACGTTCTTATTTATTTTGGAAAAGGGTTAGTCTTATTTCTATATTTCCACCCAAAAAATTTATTTTTTCATAGTTTACGGCAGAAAGAGTCAGAAATTTTAAAAAAAAATGCAAAATATGTAATGTTTTGGCGGCGGTTCAGCTTGGTCGTCAAGTTCATCGATGCTGAAAGTTGTTTTGTGAAATGCTAATCGTTGCCAAAAGTCCTTTTCGCGACGAAGCCTTTCATCGCGGAGTATGCATGATGTTTGCATGCAACCTTTCATCGTTTGAGAGTTGCGGCGGAGCCTCTCCTCGCTTAAACCATGTTCTGCGATGACAATTAGTGTCGAAGAGCTACATCCTTTGGCAACGGATAACACCCTAAGAAAATGAAAAAAAAAACCCCTTTTTCCTCTCTCACCCTTCTTCTCCTTCGGCGGCAGAACCTGCGGCGGGTGGATTTAGCGGACAAAGCGTTTTTTTTGGATCTCCTTCTCTTTATATGCTTAATGCTTATGCTCTCATTTGATATAGGATTAATGGCCAGTCGATGACTTGCTACGCCTAATAATGTCACAATGAGCTCAATAAACTGAATTGTTACTTGGGTTATCCACTTTTTGCCTCTCTGTTTGCATTTTCCTTCGACGATGTTCTTTTCCCGCCGTTGCTTTTGGCTTCTCGACCAAGTATGGCCGGTCTTAATTTTCACGATTTTTTTTTACAAGAGGAGCGCTTGTATTGCAAGGATAATCACAGTTACAAGAGGTGAGAAAAAGGAGAATGTACGTACTAACATCTAATTGGATCGTTTGTGCTCTTTTTCTCTCGCTCGGTTCTATCTTCCCCTACCAATTCCCGTGTTTGTTCATTTTTCTACTTCTCTCTCTTCTTTCTTTTGCTTTGGTTTTTGTCATGGTCTCTCACAATATCATAAAGTATCCTCTTTAAGGGGTGGCATGGTCGTCGCAAATGGCCGGAGGTTGTACTGTCGTTGCCAAATTTCGTTTGTTTCTTTTTCTCTATCTCCACAGTGAGCGGCCTCGAACATGGACCAATGCAGGAGAAGAAGGATCGTCGGAGGTTGTCATAGTGAGTATAGGGATGGTGGCGGCGGCGGAAATGCATTGAATAGAGCCGGTAATTGGAGGCTGTCATGATTGCTGAAGCTCTCATGCACGAAATTCAGGTGTTGTGAACATCATTTCAGCATGCAACTTTTCGTTTCGACCAACGCTTTTTTGAGTTGGTCTTGCACTTGTCGACCAACGCATTTTTTTTTTTTTGCCTTCTTAGTTCCTCCTCCTTCGCCGCCCAGCCGATCAACGGTGGAATCGACTCCGGGAACGGGCCCCTTTCGCCGCCGAGCTTGAAGGTGTTCACCTTCAGCGATCTCAAGTCGGCGACCAGGAACTTTGGACCCGACAGCCTGCTCGGCGGAGGCGGGAGAGCAGAGATCTACAGAGGATGGGTCAACGAGACAACTCTAGCACCTTGTACGCAGGGGACAGGTGTCGCCATCTGTTTCCCGAGAAAATCAAATACGACCGCCGGTGCCGAATTTGGTTTCCGACGATGTTGATTTGATGTTTCGCGATGGAAACTCTTGCGGTGCCACTGATCAGATGCACCGCTGATAGCTGAAATCGAGACGACCGTCAAATATCCACCGCCTAGCGATGTTGATTTGATCGGTGCAACTCTGACTTCTGAAAACGATGACGTTCGTCAAAAATCCACCGTCGTGCGATGTTGATTTTATCGATGCACCTCTGAATGGTGAACTCAACCAGACCGTCAAATATCCACCGCCGAGCGATGTTGATCTGATCGATGCACCTCTGAGTTCTAACCAACGCGACCGTTACTACGGTTCGCACCTCTCCAAACTACGTTCGAACGAGGGTGTTTGAGTTTTGAGGAATCTACGCTACGGCTACTCCTATTGAGATTCCTGTGGAGAGCTCTGTGACTATGACTAAGACTACAACTATGGAGATCCTTCCTGGAAGGAGAGCTCCGCAAGGGAGTTACACTGAAAAAGATAAGTTTGACAGAGTTGTTCTGTGTTGATTTTGTTGTCACTTTCTCTCTCCTTGCTCCACTGCTTTTATTCGAAAAACATCTTCGTAGTCTTCACGCTTGGTGAAACCGCTTCCTCAACTGCTCCGTTGTGAACTCCCACGTGTCTCAAGCATCATCTTGATCTCCTCCTCGCTCTGGTTGGCGTGAATCTCACGCGATGTTGTTTTATTCCCCAAACAGCTCTGTCTACTTTTTTTTCTCTGCCACATTGTTTTATATTAAACACTGTCGTTTTATACTCCGCAGTGTTGTTTTCTCTCGCGGCGGCGTTTTTAGTCAAACAACACCGTCTAAAATAATCATTAAACATATTAATTAATGACACCGGCTCATTATTGCCACACGGTCAAATTATCATCCCTTGGCGCTGTGGTATTTCCGCGGCATCGCTTTTCGCTGATTGATGCCGATCTTGAACTGCTCTGTGCTGGTCCCATCAAACAATGTCGTTTTTCATTCCGCGACATTGTTCTCTACCAAGCGGTACTGTTTTTCTCGTCTTGCGGTGCCGTTGGGCTTGCCGAGCCACCCTCGCCAAAATCCAACCCGCTGTGGTATAGATTTTAACTAAACGACATCGCTTACCAAGACCTCTCGCGATATCGTTTTCTAATCCGAGGTGTCATTGGGTTTACTCGCGGTATCGTTTTAAACTAAACAACACCGCTTGGTTCTACCCGCGACATTGCTTGTCACTAAACGGTGTTGTTTTTTATCCTTCTCCGACAAGGAATAAAAAGCACTCCTTTTCCAACCCCAACACCAACAATCAAAGCCGCTATCGACATTGATTTCTACTAAAATAATGTCGTTTCAAGTACCGCGGCATCGTTGGGCCTACTCGCGGTACCGTTTTTAGATCCGCGGTACCGTTTTAATTCTCCGCGATGCCGCTTGTCTCCATACGGTATCGCTTCTCCCCTTCCGACAAGGAATACAAATAATAATTAATTAAAAAACTCCTTTTCCAACACCACTACTAAACGCGCAACCCACATCTTATTTTTCGGTAAACAGTGTCGTTTCCAGTGTCGCGGTACCGCTAAGCTTCCTTGGGGTACCATTTTTTGTTTTGCGATGCCGCTTTAAATGTCGAGACTCATTATTACAACATTGAATTTAGGCCAAAAATATTTTAGGTGTAAACGGGAGCAGATCCGGTGAGTAACCTTGTGGTGAGTAACCATGAGTAACTCGTCCACATCAGTATGACATCAGCATCCTCTCTCTCCTGGAAAGCCTTTAATTTTCCCCTCTTTAATTTTTGACGGACAATTTCTCACTCATTTTAAGCGGAAATTTAATTTTTTTTTGTAAAGTTAGATCAGATTAATTGTGCTCTTCAAACTGATATCAACTTTAATATATTTTTCGAACAAAAAAAAATTAATCCATTTTTAACCAGTCTATACCATATGGTATTGACTAGTATTGAAATAAAAGCATACCTATGGTTTGAAAAAAGTATGGTTTGAAAAAAGTACCATGGTGGTATGAACAAACCAAGACTGTAGGATGGTTGAATAAATGATAGTAGAAATATATTAATTGTCATTTACGACTTTTAACATTGTATACCACAAGATACCACCCCGTACCAGGGTGGTATTGTATGGTATTGTGTGGTATTTTTTGGTCCTGTAATTTGTTCACCCATAAATTTGTAGATCCAATAGATCATGATGAACTCGTCCCTTATGTGCAAACGTTTTCAAAAACGAATTAAAAACGAAGAAGATACCATACAATACCACCCCGTACCATTCGTCCTATAATTTGTTCACCCAGAAATTTGTGGATCCAATATATCATGATGAACTCGTCCCTTCTGTGCAAACGTTTTCAAAAACGAATTAAAAATGAAGAAAATACCATATGGTATGCAGTTGGTACCGAGAGGCCAGAATTTTTTGTTCTAAAAAAATATTGAAAATTGATATCATTTTGTAGAGAACGATGAACTCGTTCCACCTGTGCAAAAAAAATTAAAATCCGAGTTAAAACGAAAAAGATATGAGCCGATTAAGAAAGTTAGAGAAAATAAAAATGATCTTTAATTCTCCATCCTTGGATCTGGATTTTCAAAATGAAGGGTCCAGATTTGGTTATTGATGGATGCATAACCCATGGTTAATGGTTATGCACCCTATCTTGAGCCGGTGTAAACACCTTCGCGATCAAGAAATTGATCAACAACAAAAGTATGCAGGGCGTCAAAGAGTGGCAGGTTATTACTTTACTCTTTTATTATTCCTTCTCTTCCTCTGCCGATTTTGCTTTGTTACTGGAATTTCGACAGTTTTTTGATGACGGGATTATATGACTAATTTATTATGAATATTAGATAATTAAACTCATATAATCAATTATTAATTGATGAGGTAAGAAAGCCAATGTGAAGAAACAAAGATTAGGATTTGAGAATGAAACAATGAGAGAGAAAGCAAGAGAGAGAGAGAGCGCGAGTTTGAAGGCGAGAGAATCAGAGGGATCGTCGGAGAAGCGAGAGCTAGAGTTGCCGAGGGGGTGAGCGCTAGGGGCGGGGTCATGTTTTCACCTTTGTCGATTGGTTGTGATCGCAGGCTACAGGTACTCGGGTCTGGAGGCGGCTGCGGTGACAAAAAGGAAGGATGCTCGCGAGAATCGTGGGTTGGGTGCAGGAGGGTGACAATAAAAAGGGAAGAAGGGAGAAAGTCAGTGTGGTATAGACTTCAGGTTGAAGAAGGCTCTAGGGGATGGTTCATTTTTCTCAACGAGGGGCATCTGTCCTCGCTTCAAGGAGTCCTTCAAACGGCGGTAATGAAGGGGAGGCAGATCGCAAGAAGATGCGTAAAGAAGTGCGGTGTTAGCGAACTAACCACTTGGCCCCAATAACTCAAGTTATTGGGAAAGGGATAGTT